AACAAACCACTCTCAAACTTGGACTATACCATTCACAAACACCCCTTTCCCCTCTCCCCATTGACAAAACACTCTCAAACTGGACTATACCATTCACAAACACCCCCTTACATTAACAAAACACTCACAAACTGGACTATACCATTCACAAACACCCCCCTCCATTAACAAAACACTCTCAAACTTGGACTATACCATTCACAAACACCCCCTTACATTGACAAAACACTCACAAACTTGGACTATACCATTCACAAACACCCCCTTACATTAACAAAACACTCTCAAACTTGGACTATACCATTCACAAACACTCCCTTACATTGATAAAACACTCACAAACTGGACTATACCATTCACAAACACCCCCTTACATTAACAAAACACTCACAAACTTGGACTATACCATTCACAAACACCCCCTTACATTAACAAAACACTCTCAAACTTGGACTATACCATTCACAAACACCCCCTTACATTAACAAAACACTCTCAAACTTGGACTATACCATTCACAAACACCCCCTTACATTAACAAAACACTCACAAACTTGGACTATACCATTCACAAACACCCCCCCTACACTCCCAGATGGCTCTGGGCGAGTGGTTCTGGTCTCGGGGTGACTTTGGGCTATACCATTCACAAACACCCCCCTCCATTGACAAAACACTCACAAACTTGGACTATACCATTCACAAACACCCCCTTACATTAACAAAACACTCACAAACTGGACTATACCATTCACAAACACCCCCTTACATTAACAAAACACTCTCAAACTTGGACTATACCATTCACAAACACCCCCCTCCATTAACAAACCACTCTCAAACTTGGACTATACCATTCACAAACACCCCTTTCCCCTCTCCCCATTGACAAAACACTCTCAAACTGGACTATACCATTCACAAACACCCCCTTACATTAACAAAACACTCACAAACTGGACTATACCATTCACAAACACCCCCCTCCATTAACAAAACACTCTCAAACTTGGACTATACCATTCACAAACACCCCCTTACATTGACAAAACACTCACAAACTTGGACTATACCATTGACAAACACCCCCTTACATTAACAAAACACTCTCAAACTTGGACTATACCATTCACAAACACCCCCTTACATTGATAAAACACTCACAAACTGGACTATACCATTCACAAACACCCCCTTACATTAACAAAACACTCACAAACTTGGACTATACCATTCACAAACACCCCCTTACATTAACAAAACACTCTCAAACTTGGACTATACCATTCACAAACACCCCCTTACATTAACAAAACACTCTCAAACTTGGACTATACCATTCACAAACACCCCCTTACATTAACAAAACACTCACAAACTTGGACTATACCATTCACAAACACCCCCCCTACACTCCCAGATGGCTCTGGGCGAGTGGTTCTGGTCTCGGGGTGACTTTGGGCTATACCATTCACAAACACCCCCCTCCATTGACAAAACACTCTCAAACTTGGACTATACCATTCACAAACACCCCTTTACATTAACAAAACACTCACAAACTGGACTATACCATTCACAAACACCCCCTTACATTAACAAAACACTCACAAACTGGACTATACCATTCACAAACACCTCCTTACATTAACAAAACACTCACAAACTTGGACTATACCATTAACAAACACCCCCCTCCATTGACAAAACACTCTCAAACTTGGACTATACCATTCACAAACACCCCCTTACATTGACAAAACACTCACAAACTTGGACTATACCATTCACAAACACTCCCTTACATTAACAAAACACTCTCAAACTTGGACTATACCATTCACAAACACCCCCTTACTTTAACAAAACACTCTCAAACTGGACTATACCATTCACAAACACCCCCCCCTGCACGCCCAGATGGCTCTGGGCGAGTGGTTCTGGTCTCGGGGTGACTTTGGGCTATACCATTCACAAACACCCCCCTACACTCCCCATTGATAAAACACTCACAAACTCGGCTATACCATTCACAAACACCCCCCTCCATTGATAAAACACTCTCAAAGTGGGCTATACCATTCACAAACACCCCCCTCCATTGACAAAACACTCTCAAACTGGACTATACCATTCACAATCACCCCCCCCCCTCTCCCCATTGATAGAACACTCACAAACTGGACTATACCATTCACAAACACCCCCTTACATTAACAAAACACTCACAAACTTGGACTATACCATTCACAAACACCCCCCTCCATTGACAAAACACTCTCAAACTTGGACTATACCATTCACAAACACCCCCTTACATTGATAAAACACTCTCAAACTGGACTATACCATTCACAAACACCCCCTTACATTAACAAAACACTCACAAACTGGACTATACCATTCACAAACACCCCCTTACATTAACAAAACACTCACAAACTTGGACTATACCATTCACAAACACCCCCCTCCATTGACAAAACACTCTCAAACTTGGACTATACCATTCACAAACACCCCCTTACATTGATAAAACACTCTCAAACTGGACTATACCATTCACAAACACCCCCTTACATTAACAAAACACTCACAAACTGGACTATACCATTCACAAACACCCCCTTACATTGACAAAACACTCACAAACTTGGACTATACCATTCACAAACACCCCCTTACATTGACAAAACACTCTCAAACTGGACTATACCATTCACAAACACCCCCTTACATTGACAAAACACTCTCAAACTTGGACTATACCATTCACAAACACCCCCTTACATTGACAAAACACTCACAAACTGGACTATACCATTCACTAACACCCCCTTACTTTAACAAAACACTCTCAAACTTGGACTATACCATTCACAAACACCCCCTTACATTAACAAAACACTCTCAAACTGGACTATACCATTCACAAACACCCCCTTACATTAACAAAACACTCTCAAACTTGGACTATACCATTCACAAACACCCCCTTACATTAACAAAACACTCTCAAACTTGGACTATACCATTCACAAACACCCCCTTACATTAACAAAACACTCACAAACTTGGACTATACCATTCACAAACACCCCCATCCATTGACAAAACACTCTCAAACTTGGACTATACCATTCACAAACACCCCCTTACATTAACAAAACACTCACAAACTTGGACTATACCATTCACAAACACCCCCTTACATTAACAAAACACTCTCAAACTTGGACTATACCATTCACAAACACCCCATTACATTAACAAAACACTCTCAAACTTGGACTATACCATTCACAAACACCCCCCTCCATTAACAAAACACTCACAACTGGGCTATACCATTCACAAACACCCCCCTCCATTGACAAAACACTCTCAAACTTGGACTATACCATTCACAAACACCCCCTTACATCAACAAAACACTCTCAAACTTGGACTATACCATTCACAAACACCCCCTTACATTAACAAAACACTTACAAACTTGGACTATACCATTCACAAACACCCCCTTACATTGACAAAACACTCTCAAACTTGGACTATACCATTCACAAACACCCCCTTACATTAACAAAACACTCACAAACTTGGACTATACCATTCACAAACACCCCCTTACATTAACAAAACACTCTCAAACTTGGACTATACCATTCACAAACACCCCATTACATTAACAAAACACTCTCAAACTTGGACTATACCATTCACAAACACCCCCCTCCATTAACAAAACACTCACAACTGGGCTATACCATTCACAAACACCCCCCTCCATTGACAAAACACTCTCAAACTTGGACTATACCATTCACAAACACCCCCTTACATCAACAAAACACTCTCAAACTTGGACTATACCATTCACAAACACCCCCTTACATTAACAAAACACTTACAAACTTGGACTATACCATTCACAAACACCCCCTTACATTGACAAAACACTCTCAAACTTGGACTATACCATTCACAAACACCCCCTTACATTAACAAAACACTCTCAAACTTGGACTATACCATTCACAAACACCCCCTTACATCAACAAAACACTCTCAAACTTGGACTATACCATTCACAAACACCCCCTTACATTAACAAAACACTCACAAACTTGGACTATACCATTCACAAACACCCCCCCTACACTCCCAGATGGCTCTGGGCGAGTGGTTCTGGTCTCGGGGTGACTTTGGGCTATACCATTCACAAACACCCCCCTACACTCCCCATTGATAAAACACTCTCAAAGTGGGCTATACCATTCACAATCACCCCCCCCCCTCTCCCCATTGATAGAACACTCACAAACTGGACTATACCATTCACAAACACCCCCTTACTTTAACAAAACATTCACAAACTGGACTATACCATTCACAAACACCCCCTTACATTAACAAAACACTCTCAAACTTGGACTATACCATTCACAAACACCCCCTTACATTGACAAAACACTCTCAAACTTGGACTATACCATTCACAAACACCCCCTTACATTAACAAAACACTCACAAACTTGGACTACACCATTCACAAACACCCCCTTACATTGACAAAACACTCTCAAACTTGGACTATACCATTCACAAACACCCCCTTACATTAACAAAACACTCTCAAACTTGGACTATACCATTCACAAACACCCCCTTACATTGACAAAACACTCTCACTTGGACTATACCATTCACAAACACCCCCTTACATTGACAAAACACTCTCAAACTTGGACTATACCATTCACAAACACCCCCTTACATTGATAAAACACTCTCAAACTGGACTATACCATTCACAAACACCTCCTTACATTAACAAAACACTCTCAAACTTGGACTATACCATTCACAAACACCCCCTTACATTGACAAAACACTCTCAAACTGGACTATACCATTCACAAACACCCCCCTTACATTAACAAAACACTCTCAAACTTGGACTACACCATTCACAAACACCCCCCCTACACGCCCAGATGGCTGTGGGTGAGTGGTTCTGGTCTCGGAGTGACGGAGCTTCGTCACGCTCCTTCGTGCGGAACTTGGCTGTCTCCTCGCTCTACAAGACGCTCGGAGCCTTCCTGCTGGGCGCGGCGATGAGTCAGGCGAGTGGCGACATCGCCGTCATCGGCATCGTCATCATCGTCATCATCGTCATCGTCATCATCGTCATCATCGCTACCGTCATCGCTACAATCATCACCATCATCACCATCGTCGCTACCACCATCATCATCATCATTACCATCGTCGCTACAATCACCATCGTTGCTACCGTCATCATCACCATCATCGCTACCATCATCACCACCACCACCATCACCACCACCATCACCATCATCACCACCACCACCATCACCATCACCACCACCATCACCATCACCACCACCACCACCATCACCACCACCATCACCATCACCACCACCATCACCATCACCACCACCACCACCATCACCACCACCACCACCACCACCATCACCACCACCACCATCACCACCACCACCACCACCATCACCACCACCATCACCACCATCACCACCACCATCACCACCACCACCACCACCACAATGACCACCATCACCATCACCACCATCACCACCACCACCATCACCACCACCACCACCACCATCACCACCTTCACCACAACCACCACCACCATCACCACCACCACCATCACCACCACCATCACCACCACCATCACCACCACAATGACCACCATCACCATCACCACCACCATCACCACCACAACCACCACAATGACTACCACCACCATCACCACCATCACCATCACCACCACCATCACCACCACCACCATCACCACCACCACCATCACCACCACCATCACCACCATCACCACCATCACCACCACCACCACCACCACCATCACCACCACCACCACCACCATCACCACCACCACCATCACCACCACCACCACCATCACCACCACCACCACCACCACCATCACCACATTCACCACCACCACCACCACCATCACCACCACCACCATCACCACCACCATCACCACCACCACCACCACAATGACCACCATCACCACCACCATCACCACCACAACCACCACAATGACTACCACCATCACCACCACCACCATCACCACCACCATCACCACCACAACCACCACAATGACTACCACCATCACCACCACCACCACCACCATCACCACCATCACCACCACAATGACTCCCACCACCATCACCACCACCACCACCATCACCACCACCATCACCACCACCACCACCACCATCACCACCACCACAATGACCACCACCATCACCACCACCACCACCACCATCACCACCATCACCACCACCATCATCACCACCACCACCATCACCACCACCACCACCATCACCACCACCATCACCACCACCATCACCACCATCACCACCACCATCACCACCATCACCATCACCACCACCACCACCACAATGACCATCACCACCACCACCACCACCATCACCACCACCACCACAATGACTACCACCACCACCACCACCATCATCACCACCACCACCATCACCACCATCACCACCATCACCACCACCACCACCACCACAATGACCACCACCACCACCATCACCACCACCACCACCACCATCACCACCACCATCACCACCACCACCACCATCACCACCACCATCACCACCACCACCACCATCACCACCACCACCATCACCACCACCATCACCATCACCACCATCACCACCACCATCACCACCACCATCACCACCACAATGACCATCACCACCACCACCATCACCACCACCACCATCACCACCACCACCACCATCACCACCACCATCACCACCACCACCACCATCACCACCACCACAATGACTACCATCACCATCACCACCACCATCACCACCACCACCAGCACCACCACCACCATCACTACCACCATCACCACCACCACCACTACCATCACCACCACCACCACAATGACCACCACCATCACCACCACCACCACCATCACCACCACCATCACCACCACCACCACAATGACTACCACCATCACCACCACCACCATCACCACCACCACTACCACCATCACCACCACCACCACAATGACTACCACCATCACCACCACCATCACCACCACCACCACCACCACCATCACCACCACCATCACCACCACCACCATCACCACCACCACCACCATCACCACCACCATCACCACCATCACCACCACCACCATCACCACCACCACCATCACCACCACCACCATCACCACCACCACCATCACCACCACCACCACCATCACCACCACCATCACCACCACCACAATGACCACCACCACCACCACCATCACCACCACCACCACTACCATCACTACCACCACCACCATCACCACCACCACCATCACCACCACTACCACCATCACCATCATCACCACCATCACCACCATCACCACCACCACCATCACCACCACCACCATCACCACCATCACCACCATCACCACCACCACCACCATCACCACCACCACCATCACCACCACCATCACCACCACCACCACCATCACCACCTTCACCACCACCACCATCACCACCACCACCATCACCACCACCATCACCACCACCACCACCACCACCACAATGACCACCACCACCATCACCACCACCACCACCATCACCACCACCACCACCACCACCACCACCATCACCACCACCACCATCACCACCACCACCACCACCACCACCATCACCACCACCACCATCACCACCACCACCATCACCACCACCATCACCACCACCATCACCACCACCACCATCACCACCATCACCACCACCACCACCATCACCACCACCACAATGACTACCATCACCATCACCACCATCACCACCACCATCACCACCACCACCATCACCACCACCACCATCACCACGTGCTCCCTGCAGGCCTTCACGGACGTGGCTAAGTACTCCATCGGACGCCTGCGTCCGCACTTTCTCCACGTTTGTGGCCTGGCGCCGGGGTTCAACTGCTCAGCCGCAATGTCAGGAGCTGTGGCCTGCACGGGAGAAGCCCACCTCGTCAATGAGGCCAGGTAACACTCACACACACAGTCACTTACACAGACACACACAGTCACATACATACAGTCACACACAGACACACACACACACACACAGACACAGTCACACACAGTCACACACACACATACACTCACACATACAGACACACACACACAGTCACAGACACACACATACACACACACACAGTCACACACACAGACACACACACACACAGACACACACACACTAGACACACACAGACACATACATACATACATACACACACAGACACACATACACAGTCACACATACACACACACACACAGACACACACAGACACAGTCACATACACACACAGACACACATACACACACACATACACAGACACAGTCACATACATACAGACACACACACACACAGTCACACACACACATAGACACACACACACACACAGACACACACACATACAGTCACACATACATACAGTCACATACACACACACAGACACACAGTCACACACACAGACACACACACACACAGACACACACACACACACACAGTCACATACACACATACACTCACACATACAGTCACAGACACACACACACAGACACACACATACACACACACACAGACACACACAGACACACACACACACACAGACACACACACATACAGTCACACATACAGTCACATACACACACACACACAGACACACACACACACACACAGTCACACACAGTCACATACACACACACACAGACACACAGACAGACACACAGACACACATACAGACACACACACACTAGACACATACACACACACAGACACACACAGTCACACACACATACAGTCACAGACACACACACACAGACACACACACACAGTCACACACACAGACACACAGTCACATACACACAGACACACAGACACATACACACACACACACATACACACACACAGTCACACACACATACAGTCACACACACAGACACACAGACACACACACACAGTCACACAGACACACACAGTCACAGACACACACAGACACACACACAGACACACACACACACAGTCACATACATACATACACACTTACATACACACTTACATACACACACACAGACACACACACACACAGACACACACACACACATACACACAGACACACACACACACACACAGTCACACACACATACAGTCACATACACACATACACACACACACACAGACACACACACATACAGTCACATACACACACACACACACAGACACACACACACACACAGACACACACACACACAGTCACAGTCACACACAGTCACATACACACACACACACAGACACACACACATACACAGACACAGTCACATACATACAGACACACACACACACAGTCACACACACACATAGACACACACACACACACAGTCACACACACACAGACACACACACACAGTCACATACACACAGACACACACACAGACACACACACACATACACGGACACAGTCACATACATACAGACACACACAGTCACACACACACATAGACACACACACACATACAGTCACATACACACACACACACACAGTCACATACACACACACACAGACACACACAGTCACACACACAGACACACACACACACACAGACACACACACACACACAGTCACACACACATACAGTCACATACACACACACACACAGACACACACACACATAGACACACACAGACACACACAGACACACACACACACACAGACACACACACACACAGACACACACAGACACACACATACAGTCACATACACATACACACACAGTCACACACACAGACACACAGACATACACACACACAGTCACACACAGTCACATACACACAGACACACAGACACACACACAGTCACACACACAGACACACAGACACACAGTCACACACAGTCACATACACACACTTACACACATACACACAGTCACACACAGTCACATACACACACTTACACACATACACACAGTCACACACAGACACACACACACACATACACACAGACACACACACACAGACACACACACACACAGACACACACAGACACACAGACACACACACAGACACATACAGTGACATACACATACAGACACACAGTCACATACACACACAGTCACATACACACACACACAGTCACATACACACACACACAGACACACACACAGACACACACAGTCACTTACACACACTTACACACATACATACAGTCACAAACACACACTTACATACTTACATACACACACACACAGTCACACACATCCATACACAGACACACACATACACACACAGTCACATACACATACTTACACACACACATACACACACAGACACACACAGACACACAGACATACACACAGTCACACACAGACACACACACAGACACACACACACACTTACACATACACACATACAGACACACACATACACACACACACATACACACACAGACTACACACACACACATACAGACACACACACACAGACACACACACATACACACACACACAGTCACACACACACACTTACTTACACACATACATACAGACACATACTTACTTACATACACACAGTCACATACACACATACACACACAGTCACATACTTACACACACACATACTTACACACACACATACACACATACACACTACACACACACTAGACACACACACACACATACACACACACACAGACACACACACATACAGTCACATACACACTTACACACACATACTTACACACAGACACACACAGACACACACACCCACAGACACACACACAGACACACACCCCAGCTCACCCCCGTGTGACCCCTCTGACCTCTGCGTGACCCCCGTGTGACCTCTGCGTGACCTCTGCGTGACCCAGGAAGTCCTTCTACTCTGGCCACTCATCGTTTGCGATGTACTCAATGCTCTACCTTGCGGTGAGGACGCGTTGCCACGGTTACCACCGCCACAGTTGCCATGGTTACCACCACGGTTGCCACGGTTACCACCGTAGTTACCATCACAGTACTCACCACTCACTCACCCACCCACTCACTCACCCACTCACTCACTCACCCACCCACTCACTCACCCACTCACCCACTCACTCACTCACCCACCCACTCACTCACCCACTCACCCACTCACTCACTCACCCACTCACTCACTCACCCACTCACTCACACACCCACTCACTCACTCACCACTCACTCACTCACCACTCACTCACCACTCACTCACTCACCCACTCACTCACCCACTCACCCACTCACTCACTCACCACTCACTCACCCACCACTCACTCACTCACTCACCACTCACTCACCACTCACTCACTCACCCACTCACTCACTCACCACTCACTCACCCACCACTCACTCACCCACTCACTCACCACTCACTCACTCACTCACCACTCACTCACTCACCACTCACTCACTCACCACTCACTCACTCACCACTCACTCACTCACTCACCACTCACTCACTCACTCACCCACCCACTCACTTACCCACTCACTCACTCACCCACTCACCCACTCACTCACTCACTCACCCACTCACTCACCCACTCACTCACCCACTCACTCACTCACCCAGTCACTCACACACCCACTCACTCACTCACCACTCACTCACCACTCACTCACTCACCCACTCACTCACCCACTCACCCACTCACTCACTCACCACTCACTCACCCACTCACTCACTCACTCACCCACTCACTCACCCACTCACTCACTCACTCACCCAGTCACTCACTCACCCAGTCACTCACTCACCCACTCACTCACTCACCACTCACTCACTCACCACTCACTCACCACTCACTCACTCACCCACTCACTCACCCACTCACCCACTCACTCACTCACCACTCACTCACCCACCACTCACTCACTCACTCACCACTCACTCACCACTCACTCACGCACCCACTCACTCACTCACTCACCACTCACTCACCCACCACTCACTCACCCACTCACTCACCACTCACTCACTCACTCACCACTCACTCACTCACCACTCACTCACTCACCACTCACTCACCACTCACTCACTCACTCACCACTCACTCACTCACCCACCCACTCACTTACCCACTCACTCACTCACCCACTCACCCACTCACTCACTCACTCACCCACTCACTCACCCACTCACTCACTCACCCAGTCACTCACACACCCACTCACTCACTCACCACTCACTCACTCACCACTCACTCACCACTCACTCACTCACCCACTCACTCACCCACTCACCCACTCACTCACTCACCACTCACTCACCCACCACTCACTCACTCACTCACCACTCACTCACCACTCACTCACTCACCCACTCACCCACTCACTCACTCACTCACCCACTCACTCACCCACTCACTCACTCACCCAGTCACTCACTCACCCAGTCACTCACTCACCCACTCACTCACTCACCACTCACTCACTCACCACTCACTCACCACTCACTCACTCACCCACTCACTCACCCACTCACCCACTCACTCACTCACCACTCACTCACCCACCACTCACTCACTCACTCACCACTCACTCACCACTCACTCACTCACCCACTCACTCACTCACCACTCACTCACCCACCACTCACTCACCACTCACTCACTCACTCACCACTCACTCACTCACCACTCACTCACTCACCACTCACTCACCACTCACTCACTCACTCACCACTCACTCACTCACTCACCACTCACTCACCCACTCACTCACTCACTCACCACTCACCCACTCACTCACTCACTCACCCACTCACTCACTCACCCAGTCACTCACACACCCACTCACTCACTCACCACTCACTCACTCACCACTCACTCACCACTCACTCACTCACCCACTCACTCACCCACTCACCCACTCACTCACCACTCACTCACCCACCACTCACTCACTCACCACTCACTCACCACTCACTCACTCACCCACTCACCCACTCACTCACTCACTCACCCACTCACTCACCCACTCACTCACTCACTCACCCAGTCACTCACTCACCCAGTCACTCACTCACCCACTCACTCACTCACCACTCACTCACCACTCACTCACCACTCACTCACTCACCCACTCACTCACCCACTCACCCACTCACTCACTCACCACTCACTCACCCACCACTCACTCACTCACTCACCACTCACTCACCACTCACTCACCCACTCACTCACTCACCACTCACTCACCGACCACTCACTCACCCACTCACTCACCACTCACTCACTCACCACTCACTCACCACTCACTCACTTACTCACCCACTCACTCACTCACTCACCACTCACCCACTCACTCACTCACCACTCACTCACTCACTCACCCACTCACTCACCACTCACCCATTCACTCACTCACCACTCACCCACTCACTCACTCACTCACCACTCACTCACCACTCACTCACCACTCACTCACCCACTCACTCACTCACTCACCACTCACTCACTCACTCACCACTCACTCACCACTCACTCACCACTCACTCACTCACCACTCCTCACCACTCACCACTCCTCACCACCACTCACCACTCACTCACCACTCCTCACCACTCACCACTCCTCACCACCACTCACCACCACTCACTCACCACTCACCACTCACCACTCCTCACCACCACTCACCACCACTCACCACCACTCACTCACCACTCACCACTCACCACTCCTCACCCCTCCTCACCACTCTCCACAGCTGTATCTGGAATCCCGACTCACCACTCACTCCTCACTCCCCACTCACCACTCACCACTCCTCACCCCTCCTCACCACTCCTCACCACTCACTCACTCCTCACCACTCACCGCTCACTCACTCACCCACCCACTCACTCACTCACTCACCCACTCACCCACTCACTCACCACTCACTCACCCACTCACTCACCACTCACCACTCACCCACCCACTCACCACTCACCACTCACTCACTCACTCACCCACTCACTCAATCACCCACTCACTCACCCACTCACCCACTCACTCACCACTCACTCACCACTCACCACTCACTCACCCACTCACTCACTCACCACTCACTCACTCACCACTCACTCACTCACTCACCACCACTCACAACTCTCCACTCCTCACCCCTCGTCACCACTCACCACCACTCACCACCACTCCTCACCACTCACCACCACTCACCACTCACCACTCACTCACCCACTCACTCACTCACCACTCACTCACCCACTCACCCACTCACTCACCACTCACTCACCACTCACCACTCACTCACCCACTCACTCACCACTCACTCACTCACCACTCACTCACCACCACTCACAACTCTCCACTCCTCACCCCTCCTCACCACTCACCACTCACTCACCCACCCACCCACCCACTCACTCACTCACTCACCCACTCACCCACTCACTCACCCACTCACTCACTCACTCACCACTCACTCACTCACCACTCACTCACCACCACTCACTCACCCCTCCTCACCACTCACCACCACTCACCACTCACTCACCCACCCACCCACCCACTCACTCACTCACTCACCCCTCCTCACCACTCTCCACAGCTGTATCTGGAATCACTCCTCACTCCTCACCACTCACTCACTCACTCACCCCTCCTCACCACTCTCCACAGCTGTATCTGGAATCCCGACTGACCTGGCATGGGGCCCGAACTCTCCGTCCACTGCTGCAGTTTGGGAGTGTCCTCCTGGCCTGCTGGGTGGCCCTGTCACGCGTCTCAGACTACATGCACCACTGGAGTGACGTGCTTTGTGGCCTGTTGCAAGGGGCAGCTGTTGCCTGCTTCGTGGTACAGACACTCACTCACTCAGACACTCACTCAGACACTCAGACACTCAGACAGACACTCATTCACTCACTCAATCACTCAGTCACTCACTTAATCACTCAGTCACTCACTCAAACACTCAGTCACTCAGTCACTCAGTCACTCAGACACTCACTCACTCACTCAAACAGTCAGTCACTCATACACTCAGTCAGACACTCAGACACTCACTCAGACACTCACACAGACACTCACACAGACACTCACTCACGTACACACAGACTACATGCACCACTGGAGTGACGTACTTTGTGGCCTGTTGCAAGGGGCAGCTGTTGCCTGCTTCGTGGTACACTCAGACACTCAGTCAGACACTCACTCAGACACTCAGACAGACACTCAGTCAGACACTCAAACACTCAGTCACTCATACACTCACTCAATCACTCAGTCACTCACTCAGTCACTCAGACACTCACTCAGACACTCAGACACTCACTCAGTCACTCAGTCACTCACTCAGTCACTCACTCAGTCAATCACTCAGACACTCACTCACACAGACACTCACTCAGACACTCACTCACGTACACACAGACTACATGCACCACTGGAGTGACGTGCTTTGTGGCCTGTTGCAAGGGGCAGCTGTTGCCTGCTTCGTGGTACACTCAGACACTCAGTCAGACACTCACTCAGACACTCAGACACTCACTCACTCAGACAGACACTCAAACAGTCAGTCACTCACTCACTCAGTCACTCACTCAGTTACTCAGTCACTCACTCACTCAGACAGACACTCAAACACTCAGTCACTCACTCACTCAGTCACTCACTCAGACACTCACTCACTCAGTCACTCACTCAGACACTCACACAGACACTCACTCAGTCACTCAGTCACTCACTCACACAGACACTCACTCACGTACACACAGACTACATGCACCACTGGAGTGACGTGCTTTGTGGCCTGTTGCAAGGGGCAGCTGTTGCCTGCTTCGTGGTACACTCAGACACTCAGTCAGACACTCAGTCAGACACTCACTCAGACACTCAGACACTCACTCACTCAGACAGACACTCACTCACTCAGTCACTCACTCAGTTACTCAGTCACTCACTCACTCAGACAGACACTCAAACACTCAGTCACTCACTCACTCAGTCACTCACTCAGACACTCACTCACTCAGTCACTCACTCAGACACTCACACAGACACTCACTCAGACACTCAGTCACTCACTCACACAGACACTCACTCACGTACACACAGACTACATGCACCACTGGAGTGACGTGCTTTGTGGCCTGTTGCAAGGGGCAGCTGTTGCCTGCTTCGTGGTACACTCAGACACTCAGTCAGACACTCACTCAGACACTCAGACACTCACTCACTCAGACAGACACTCAAACAGTCAGTCACTCACTCACTCAGTCACTCACTCAGTTACTCAGTCACTCACTCACTCAGACAGACACTCAAACACTCAGTCACTCACTCACTCAGTCACTCACTCAGACACTCACTCACTCAGTCACTCACTCAGACACTCACACAGACACTCACTCAGTCACTCAGACACTCAGTCACTCATTCACACAGACACTCACTCACGTACACACAGACTACATGCACCACTGGAGTGACGTGCTTTGTGGCCTGTTGCAAGGGGCAGCTGTTGCCTGCTTCGTGGTACACTCAGACACTCAGTCAGACACTCACTCAGACACTCAGACACTCACTCACTCAGACAGACACTCAAACAGTCAGTCACTCACTCACTCAGTCACTCACTCAGTTACTCAGTCACTCACTCACTCAGACAGACACTCAAACACTCAGTCACTCACTCACTCAGTCACTCACTCAGACACTCACTCACTCAGTCACTCACTCAGACACTCACACAGACACTCACTCAGTCACTCAGACACTCAGTCACTCACTCACACAGACACTCACTCACGTACACACAGACTACATGCACCACTGGAGTGACGTGCTTTGTGGCCTGTTGCAAGGGGCAGCTGTTGCCTGCTTCGTGGTACACTCAGACACTCAGTCAGACACTCACTCAGACACTCAGACAGACACTCAGTCAGACACTCAAACACTCAGTCACTCATACACTCACTCAATCACTCACTCACTCACTCAGACACTCAGTCACTCAGACACTCACTCAGACACTCACTCAGTCACTCACTCAGACAGACACTCACTCAGACACTCACACAGACACTCACTCAGTCACTCAGACACTCACTCACGTACACACAGACTACATGCACCACTGGAGTGACGTGCTTTGTGGCCTGTTGCAAGGGGCAGCTGTTGCCTGCTTCGTGGTACACTCAGACACTCACTCAGACACTCAGTCACTCACTCAGACACTCACTCAGACACTCACTCAGTCACTCACTCAGACACTCACTCAGACAGACACTCACTCATGTACACACAGACTACATGCACCACTGGAGTGACGTGCTTTGTGGCCTGTTGCAAGGGGCAGCTGTTGCCTGCTTCGTGGTACACTCAGACACTCAGTCAGACACTCACTCAGACACTCAGACAGACACTCACTCAGACAGACACTCAAACACTCAGTCACTCACTCACTCAGTCACTCACTCAGTTACTCAGTCACTCACTCACTCAGACAGACACTCAAACACTCAGTCACTCACTCAGTCACTCACTCAGACACTCACTCACTCAGTCACTCACTCAGACACTCACACAGACACTCACTCAGTCACTCAGACACTCACTCACGTACACACAGACTACATGCACCACTGGAGTGACGTGCTTTGTGGCCTGTTGCAAGGGGCAGCTGTTGCCTGCTTCGTGGTACACTCAGACACTCACTCAGACACTCACTCAGACACTCAGACACTCAGACAGACACTCACTCAGACACTCAAACACTCAGTCACTCACTCAGTCACTCAGTCACTCAGTCACTCACTCAGTCACTCACTCACACAGACACTCACTCACGTACACACAGACTACATGCACCACTGGAGTGACGTGCTTTGTGGCCTGTTGCAAGGGGCAGCTGTTGCCTGCTTCGTGGTACAGACACTCAGTCAGACACTCAGACACTCAGTCAGACACTCACTCAGACACTCAGTCACTCACTCAGTCACTCAGTCACTCAGTCACTCACTCAGACACTCAGACACTCACTCAGTCACTCAGTCACTCACTCAGTCACTCAGTCACTCAGTCACTCACTCAGACACTCAGACACTCACTCAGTCACTCACTCAGACACTCACTCACACAGACACTCACTCACGTACACACAGACTACATGCACCACTGGAGTGACGTGCTTTGTGGCCTGTTGCAAGGGGCAGCTGTTGCCTGCTTCGTGGTACAGACACTCACTCACTCAGACACTCACTCAGACACTCACTCAGACACTCAAACACTCAGTCACTCACTCAGTCACTCAGTCACTCACTCAGACACTCAGACACTCAATCAGTCACTCATACACTCACTCAGTCACTCAGTCACTCACTCAAACACTCAGACACTCACTCACTCACACAGACACTCACACAGACACTCACTCACGTACACACAGACTACATGCACCACTGGAGTGACGTGCTTTGTGGCCTGTTGCAAGGGGCAGCTGTTGCCTGCTTCGTGGTACACTCAGACACTCAGTCAGACACTCACTCAGACACTCAGACACTCAGACAGACACTCATTCACTCACTCAATCACTCAGTCACTCACTCAAACACTCAGTCACTCAGTCACTCACTCACTCAGACACTCACTCACTCACTCAAACAGTCAGTCACTCATACACTCAGTCAGACACTCAGACACTCACTCAGACACTCACACAGACACTCACACAGACACTCACTCACGTACACACAGACTACATGCACCACTGGAGTG